AGCGGTGAATGCTCCAACACTGGAAGTTTTTAAGAAGAGACTGGACAGCCATTTGTCTGAAATGGTGTAGGGTTCCTGCCTGAGCAGGGGGTTGGACTCGATGACCTCCAAGGTCCCTTCCAACTTTTTTATTATTATTATTATTATTATTATTATTATTATTATTATTATTATTATTATTATTATTATTATTATTACTTCCACGTTGTCATTTTTCTTCTTGTTGTTCAGGGATTCCCCGTTTTCACCCTCCTCCTCCTCCTCTTCCTCCTCCTCCTCTATAATTCCTTCCACAATGGCTTTGGCGTCCCCGGGACTCGGGGCTTCTTCGCACCTGAAACAAAGCAAGGAGGTTTAATTCAGACGTCGAGATTGGCAAGCGCAGAAAAAAATGAGAAAACCCTGGAAAGTGCTCTTCAACCTCTTCATCAAAGATTTGGATGAGGGGATAGATGGGGAACTCATGAAATTTGCAGATGACACCAAGCTGGCAGGAATAACCAACACTCCAGAAGACGGGCTTAGGATACAGGAGGATCTGGACAGACTTGAATACTGGGCGCTATCTAACACAATGAAATTCAAGGGTGAAAAAAGTAAAGGTTCTACATTTAGGCAAGAAAAACCAAATGTGCAAACCCCATTCCCTTCTAGCACTGATGATGGTACCTAGTTGGGTCATGAAACGTCTGCAAGCAAACAATGAGCACAGAGACCAGCCACAGCTCTACACTCCCCCAGAATTCCCTAGCCGGTTGAAGTCTACACATTTTAAAGCATTTCAAGTTTTTGAAAAGCAAGGAAGAGGTTTGGCAAAAGGGCACAGATGAAAGGGTTTCCAAGGACGTAAGAAGGCAGGGAAGGAAGTTTTATAAAGTCGACGTACTGTTTGACCTGGCCGAGCATGGATACTCTGGCTGATTCGAGATTTCTGATCTGCCCACTCTTCACACTAGGAGAAAAAAAAAAGGAAAAAAGACCAGCCATCACCAATGCGGAATTCGTAAGTGTTGTTTTAACTTTCCTTTATTTTTTATTATTTTTTTTAGCAAAGGTGGTTTACCTTGAATTTTTTTAAGTCCCACCTGTCCCCTCTCAGAGGAAGGCAGAGTAGCTAACATGGAACAACTGGCTCTAGTTTTATTTTTATTATTATTATTACTTTGGCTTGTCACACAGTCGGACAGGTGTTCAGACTGGATCTGGCATTTTTTTCACCCAACTATTAAGTCCTTCTCAAGGACCTGGGAGAGGCAGATGTGGTGGTTTGATGGTGTTAAAGGTCTCGTCGCAGGATGTCAGCTGATTTGAGTCAAGCTGCCTTTTGCAATTGACTAATGGGGATTTTGTCAATGCCAACCGAACCCAACCCAACCCAATCCAACTCAATCCAAATCAACCTAACCCAACCCAATCTAATCCAACCTAACCCAACCCAATCCAACCCAACCTAATCCAACCCAACCTTACCCAACCCAACCCAACCCAACTCAACCCAACCTAATCCAACTCAACCCAACCCAACCTAATCCAACTCAACCCAACCCAATCCAACTCAACCCAACCTAATCCAACCCAACCTTACCCAACCCAACCCAACCCAATCTAATCCAACCCAACCCAATCCAACTCAACCCAACCTAATCCAACCCAACCTTACCCAACCCAACCCAACCCAACTCAATCCAACCCAACCCAACCCAACCCAACCTAATCTAACCTAACCTAATGGTTCAACCATCATGGTTCATGCATTACCTCCATTCGATGGCGTTTTCCAGAGATTTGAACGTCTTGGGGCGACTCCGGAGGAAATTCTGCATGCTGTTGAGGGCATCCATAGCTGTCCCTACACCAATGACAGAGGGATGTCTGGTATTAAACAAACTGACATGTATCACGCCTGCTGCAAGGTTAGGAGAAGTTGGTCTAGAGCAGGGGTCTTCAAACTTGGCCCTTTGATGACTTGTGGACTTCAAGTCCCAGAATTCCTCAGCCAGGCATGAGGAATTCTGGGAGTTGAAGTCCACAAGTCATCAAAGGGCCAAGTTTGAAGACCCCTGGTTTAGAGGAGAAAATGGTGGCAACTTACCTTCCACAACGTCAATCATACAGAGGCCCAACAAGCTTGGCACCAGATTGGACGCGGCTGTGTGGACAGCGATGGCTCCTCCCATGCTGTGCCCAATCAGCATAATGGGAGGGCAGAGGTCGCCATACATGACTTCCACCACGTTGCCAACGTCTCTAGAAAAAACATAAGAATGGGAGAACATAAGCTGTGGTCCTGCTGGATGGGAACCCCAGACCCATCTTGCTCGCTCTCCCAACTGCCCAAGGAAGCCCACTGGTCTCCTAGCACAGGAGTATCCAAACTTGATGACTTTTAAGACTCGTGGACTTCATCTCCCAGAATTCCCCAGCCATCAGGAATCTGCAAATTTGGCAACTTTTAAGACTCGTGGACTTCATCTCCCAGAATTCCCTAGCCACTAGGGATCTCCAAACGTGGTAACTTTAAGACTCGTGGACTTCATCTCCCAGAATTCCCTAGCCACTAGGGATCTGCAAACGTGGTAACTTTTAAGACTCGTGGACTTCATCTCCCAGAATTCCCCAGCCATCAGGAATCTGCAAATTTGGCAACTTTTAAAACTCGTGGACTTCATCTCCCAGAATTCCCCAGCAACCAGGGATCTCCAAACGTGGTAACTTTAAGACTCGGGGACTTCATCTCCCAGAATTCCCCAGCCATCAGGAATCTGCAAATTTGGCAACTTTTAAGACTCGTGGACTTCATCTCCCAGAATTCCCTAGCCACTAGGGATCTCCAAACGTGGTAACTTTAAGACTCGGGGACTTCATCTCCCAGAATTCCCCAGCAACCTTAAAACACCCCCTTTCCCCCCCAAAAAAAATTATGGAGCCACATACTTGGACATTGTTTCTGCAGACAGGTCTTCGGGATTACGCACTGTTGTCTCACCTGTAACAACAAAAGCAGCTCAAATGAAAAGAAGTGTTAACCAGAATTAAAATCATTTCTCCTCTATGCCCTTATTGACCAAAACTGGATTGCATCTGAATTAAATCAGACGAGGGGCAAAAGGCGTTGACCGTTCTATTTCTTTTTGCAAGTCTCTGTGTTTTGTGATTTTTCTCCAGTTCTCTTTCTTCTCTTTGGCTGTCTCCAGCTACCGCCACGTCCACCGTCCAGACTTTTGTGTCTTCTAGTTGTTAAGTCTGGGGTGTGATATGACAGGCGCCTGTCTGTTTGAATTCTGAAATCGCCCAGAGTCCTGGGATACGATGTGGGTGGCAAATAAATTTTTATAAATAGATAAGCAAGCATTTGGTTTCTTCGTTTTTGAGGATTTTCTCTATTTTATGGCCCTACAAATTCTTCATTATATAATAATAATAATAATAATAATAATAATAATGATGATAATAATGATAATAATAAAGTTGGAAGGGACCTTGGAGGTCATCTATTCCAACCCCCTGCTCAGGCAGAAAACCCTATACCATTTCGGACAAATGGCCGTCCAGTCTCTTCTTAAAAACTTCCAGTGTTGGAGCATTCACCGCTTCTGGAGGCAGGTGGTTCCACTGGTTAATTGTTCTAACTGTCAGGAAGTTTCTCCTTAGTTCTAGGTTGCTTCTCTCTTTGGTTAGTTTCCATCCGTTGCTTCTTGTCCTGCCTTCGGGCGCTTTGGAGAATAGCTTGACTCCCTCTTCTTTGGGGCAGCCCCTGAGATACTGGAAGGCTGCTCTCATGTCCCCCCTGGTCCTACTTTTCATCAGACTACATATATCCAATTCAATTCAATTCAGAATCAAGCTGGAAGGGACCTTGAAGGTCATCTAGTCCAACCCCCTGCTCAGGCAGGAAACCCTATACCATTTCGAACAAATGATTGTCCAGTCTCTTCTTAAAAACTTCCAGTGTATATAATATATTATATATGATTATATGATATATATAATCATATATAATATATATATGATGTATGTATGTATGTATGTATATATGTTATATAATTATATATTATTATATATTATAATTATATTATATATTATTATATCATATATTTATATTATTATATTACATTACATTACATTAATTATTATATTGGTTGGGGGCCTCTGCCTTACCGTGTCCTCTTAGATCCAAAGCAACGATCCTGCACTGGATACGGTTGACAATGGCAGCCTGCAGGAAGAGATTAAAAAAAAAAAAGGACTCAGATAGTTATAAAATCGGAGGGATAGAGGTAGAGCTCTTAAGGAGTTAAGGTCCCACCCTTGTAGACAGGATGAGACCCCAAGAATGATCCAGCCCAGCAATTCTCAACCTGGGCAACGGGAAGACGTGTGGACTTCAACTCCCAGAATTCCCCAGCCGACAAAGCATCCAACTGACTCCTAAATAAATACGCGAGTCAGGTGCCAAGCCTCCGAATTTTGATCACGCGACCACGGGGAGGCTGCAACGGTGGTGTGAAAAATGCTCGTAAGTCACTATTTTTTCAGCATCAGAATCGAGTGGAAGGGACCTTGGAGGTCTGCTAGTCCAGCCCCCTGCTCAAGCAGGAGATGAAGCACCCAGTGATGAAGCATACATAATGTCTGAAGGAAAGCTGTTCAGTGCTGTTGTAACTTTGAATGGTCACTAAATGAAATGTGGTAAGTCGAGGACGACAGATAGACAGACAGATACCGTAGATAGATAGAAGATAGATAGAAATTAGATAAGAAAGGAAGGAAGGAAGGAAGGAAGGAAGGAAGGAAGGAAGGAAGGAAGGAAGAAAGAAAGAAAGAAAGAAAGAAAGAAAGAAAGAAAGAAAGAAAGAAAGAAAGAAAGAAAGAAAGAAAGAAAGGAAGGAAGGAAGGATGGGAGATAGAAGATAGATGATAGATAGATAGATAGATAGATAGATAGATAGATAGATAGATAGATAGATAGATAGATAGATAGATAGATAGATAGATAGATAGATGATAGATAAGAAATTTGATAGAAATTAGATAAATGATAGAAATGAGATAGATAGACAGAAATGAGATAGATAGACAGACAGACAGACAGATGATAATCTTTCTTGTCATTTTTTTACTGTGGGCACAATGGCACACATTAAAAATGAGATTTATGCTCTCAAGTGTACACATGCATAACACACATTTAAACATATTATAACATATGTATAGACTTACACCCTTACATCTAAGTAACACATCAATATAAATATTATAAATATTTGTACTTACCAAAGGAAATTTGGGGCTGAACTGTGGTGGTAAGTCGAGCCCACCCTATATAGCTGCGTGCCCAGAGTCTTTCTGGGGGGGTAAATGGGGGTCTTTAAAAATCTGACCAAGCCACACACATGGAAGGAAGGAAGGGACGTACCGTGAAGACAGCCCAGGAGAGAGCCGAGTGGCCTCCGCCGTGTAGAAGCAGCAACAGGGGACCCTCAGACCCGCTCTTGTAAACTCGAAAAGTGTATGAACAGTTAAGGATGCGACAACCTTCTTTGGAAAGACTTGAGGTTTAGGGGAAAAAAAGGAGAGGGAGATATAATACTACTACACTTAGGATAAAATCCTAAGGATGGAAGGGACCTTGGTGGTTTTCTAGACCAACCTGGATTCTATCCCTCTGCATTAACAGAGGGAGAGAATCAAGATCATGTGAAGTGTTAATACCACTTTACAATGCCTTGGTAAGGCCACACTTGGAATACGGCATCCAGTTTTGGTCACCACGATGTAAAAAAGATGCTGAGACTCTAGAAAGAGTGCAGAGAAGAGCAACTAAGATGATCAGGGGACTGGAGGCTAAAACATATAAGGAACGGTTGCTGGAATTGGGTGTGTCTAGTTTAATGACGAGAAGGACGAGGGGGGACATGATAGCAGCCTTCCAGTATCTCAGGGGCTGCCCCAAAGAAGAGGGAGTCAAGCTGTTCTCCAAAGCCCCTGAAGGCAGGACAAGAAGCAACGGGTGGAAACTCATCAAGGAGAGAAGCAACCTGGAACTAAGGAGAAACTTCCTGACAGTGAGAACAATTAACCAGTGGAACCACCTGCCTCCAGAATCGGTGAATGCTCCAACACTGGAAGTTTTTAAGAAGAGGCTGGACAGCCATTTGTCCAAAATGGTATAGGGTTCCCTGCCTGAGCAGGGGGTTGGACTAGATGACCTCCAAGGTCCCTTCCCACTCTGTTATTCTGTTAACCCCCTGCCCAAAGCAGGAGACCTCCAATCAAAGTAAAGTTTTTCTTCCTTTTTAACTGTTTATTAATTGTTAGCTTTATTTCTCCTGCAAAATACGTGCAACCCTGTCTTTTTACATATTGCCTTCAAAATGGGCGTGTTGTTTGGTTTGGGAACGAATTAAATTTATTTCCATTATTCCTTATGGGAAAAATGTCTGTGTACTCCTCGTTTTGGGGACCAGTTAAGGATGAGTACCAAGGTACACAATATTTAAAAAAAAGGAAGCAATGGCTGGCCTACAATGGTTTTGCAGTTTTAATTTGAAAGCCGTTCCTGTCTAGCAAGGACGAAATGTGTCCTTAAACGGAGCTGGGAGAATCCTTAGCCTTAAATATTTGACTGCCCCGTGGAGGGTTCTGCAACTGGAGTAAATCAACCAGCGGCCCAAAGGAAAGGATATATCCTGGCCGGAGTCCGTCTCGACCACCACATCTTCCATAGATTCGAAATATTGGTTCCAGGAAACCGGACTGTAATCACGCTTCCTGCCAGGCCTAAAAAAAGAAAAGAAGGCATTTAATTTTGATTTTTAATTTTGATTTTATTTTTTCTTAAGGCGAGTCTAAAAGAGAGCTGGGCGTTTGATGGCCCCCGGGCCAGCTCCGGCCCTTTGGCGGTCCCTGTCCAGCCAGCGCGGTTTGCTTTTTATTGTGAAGGCAACTTTTTTGGGTTTTTTTCCATTTATGTTTATGCAGGCATGAATGCCTACACATCTTCACTCCCTTGTTGGTTTGGCAGTCCCAGTTTCCCATGAGACCCCTTGGGAAAATTAATGATGGAAGAGGAGGAGGGCTGTGGGGTCCTTGGTGCTTTCTGAGCTGGGTGGTTTTCTTGCAGAGGTTTCATGACCCAACTAGGTAATATCATCAGTGCTAGAAGGGAGGAGGAGGAGGAGGAGGAGGAGGAGGAGGAGGAGGACCTCCTCCTCCTCCTCGACGACGACGACGACAACGACGACTGTGGGGTCCTTGGTGCTTTCTGAGCTTGGTGGTTTTCTTGCAGACGTTTCATGACCCAACTAGGTAACATCATCAGTGCTAGAAGGGAGGAGGAGGAGGAGGAGGAGGAGGAGGAGGAGGAGGAGGAAGAAGAAGAGGAGGAGGAGGAATGTGGGGTCCTTGGTGCTCTCTGAGCTGGGTGGTTTTCTTGCAGACGTTTCATGACCCAACTAGGTAACAATATCAGTGCTACAAAGGAGGGGGGATTGTGGAGAAGAGGAAGAGGAGGAGGAGGAGGAGGAGGAGGAGGAGGAGGAGGAGAATGACTGTGAGGTCTTTAGTGCTCTCTGAGCTTGGTGGTTTTCTTGCAGATGTTTCATGACCCAACTAGGGAACTTCATCAGTGCTACAAGGGAGTGGGGGTTGTGGAGAGGAGGAGGAGGAGGAGGAGGAGTGGGGGTGGTGATAGGAAGGAGGAGGAGGAGGAGGACTGTGGGGTGCTTGGTGCTGTTTGAGCTGGGTGGTTTTCTTGCAGACATTTCAGAAGGGAGGGGGATTGTGGAGAGGAGGAGGAGGAGGAGGAGGAGGAGGAAGAGGAAGAGGAAGAGGAAGAGGAAGAGGAAGAAGAGGAGGTGGTGGTGGTCATTGAGATCCTTGGTGCTCTCTGAGCTTGTTTTCTTGCAGACATTTCATTATCCAGCTAGGAAACATCATCAGTAATACAGAGATATATCGGTGCTGTAGTAAGTGGTTATACAGGTAGTCCTCAACTTAGAAAAAATTCATTTAGTGACAGTTTGAAGCTACAACGACAACTGAACAAAGGGACTGACCGTTTTTCACTTACAGCCATTGCGCATCCCCACGATCCAACGATCAATATTTAGGTACTTGGCAACTGACATGGGTGTAGGAAGGCTGCAGTGTCCCGGGTCACAATTCCCAGCTAGCATCTGACAAACACATTCCACGGGGGAAGCTGGATTTGCTTACAAATGTGTAGTGATTCGCATAGCAACGGTGCGAAAAAGGTCCTAAAATGAAGCACTCCTCTCTGCATACCCACTCCCTCCTAGCCCTGAGGATGTTACCTAGCTGGATCATAAAACGTCTGCAAGAAAACCAGCAAACTCAGAGAGCACCAAGGGTCCCACAATCAACTTCCTCCTCCTCCTCCTTCTAACACTGATGATGTTACCTAGCTGGGTCATGAAACGTCTGCAAGAAAACCACCCAGCTCAGAGAGCACCAAGGACCCCACAGTCCTTCCTTCCTTCCTTCCTTCCTTCCTTCCTTCCTTCCTTCCTTCCTTCCTTCCTTCCTTCCTTCCTTCCTTCCTTCCTTCCTTCTCCTCCTCGTCCCTCCTAGCCCTGATGATGTTACCTAGCTGGGTCATGAAACGTCTGCAAGAAAACCACCCAGCTCAGAGAGCACCAAGGACCCCACAGTCCTTCCTTCCTTCCTTCCTTCCTTCCTTCCTTCCTTCCTTCCTTCCTTCCTTCCTTCTTTCCTTCCTCTTCCTTCTCCTCCTCGTCCCTTCTAGCACTGATGTTACCTAGCTGGGTCATGAAACGTCTCCAAGAAAACCACCCAGCTCAGAGAGCACCAAGGATCCCACAGTTCAGCTGCAAGCTACAAATATTTTCTCCTATCAGATATCTTTATTGTTATTTTATTATTATTATTATTATTATTATTATTATTATTATTATTATTATTATTATTATTATATGGATCATCGCACAGTCAGCCAGATGTTCAGACTGGATTTGGCATTTTGTCTACCTATCGAGTCCAATGGGTCCTGGACCCTATCCGTCTACACCTACAAACTACCATAATGTCTAGAGCAGCGTCCTACCTTCGCCAAGGATCATTCCGGCGGAAAACGTTAACTGATTACCGCTTAAACAGTTACGGCTACTACCACAAGTTCACCAGCTCCAGTTGTTTTGGGATTGCACCCAAGGCGCCTATTACTATTGGTACCACCCTTGCTTGCCTTTGCCACAGTCTGTCTGTCTGTCTGTCTTCCTTCTTCTTCTTCTTCTTTTTCTTCTTATTATTATTACTACTACTACTACTACTACTTAACTTCAGGATAGCCAGGCCAAATTTGGAAGATTGGGAGAGAGAAATCTGAGGCCGGAGACATTCGGCAAGAAAAAAAAAACAGCACAATTTCCTTGTTTCAGAGTCCAACGTTAATCTATCTATCTGTAAACCCCGCCTAAAACCCCGATATAAAATTAACCTTGTAAATAAGCAGATAATTGTGAGTCACTGATTGCGCTGTACAGGTTAATCTTTGACTCGCCACAACGGAGCCCCAAAATTTCTGCTTCCGCTAAGCCAGAAGGTTTGTTGAGTTTTGCCCCATTTAAGACCTTCCTTGCCACCGTTGTTAAGCGAATCACTGCGGTTGATAAGCTCGTCAGACGGTCGTTAAGCGAAGCTGGCTTCCCCCGCTTGACTCTGCTCGTCAGTCGCAAAAGGGGATGGCGTGATTCCCGGGACACTGTGACCGTCGTAAATAGGAGCCAGTTGACAAGCGTCTGAATTTTGATCACGTGATCAGGCTGCGACGGTCGTAAGTCCGAGGTCCCTTTTTCCCAACGGTGTTGAAACTCAAAGAATCACTACTCAAGCTACCTGTACCAATACAGGCTAGATCAGGGGTAGGCCACCTTGGCTCTTTTATGACTCGTGGACTTCAACTCCCAGAATTCCTCAGCCAGCCATGCTGAGGGGAAAGGGAGAGGTTTCCAAGCTGAGCCAGCCATGCTGAGGGAAAAGGAAGAGGTTTCCAAGCTGAGCCATGCTGGCTCAGGAATTCTGGGAGTTGAAGTCCACACATCTTAAAGTTGCCAAGCTTGAGGTTATAACTCTTCTTTCTCTCCTTCTGATTTTACTCCCAGGTCCCAGCAACACAGGCTTCTATTTCCATACCCCCCCTTTTTTGGGGGGGAGAAACAGAAATCCTTTCTGGATTCCCCCCCCCCCCCCGCTTTTCTCATCAAAGCTTCCCCCACCCCAGCTGATGGTGTGTGCTACTCTGCCCCCCAGTGCCTTGCACCCACCTCTGCAGACGGAGCCTCCCCCACTGATTAGATAAGCTTTTTTTTTTAGATAACCTTTATTGTCATTTTTTTTCCTGTGGGCACAACGCACACATTAAAAATGAAATTTAGTTGCTTCCTCTCAAAGGGTAGAAATATATTTTTAAGAAGAGACTGGACAGCCGTTTGTCTGAAATGGTCTAAGATTTTCTGCCCGAGTAGGGGGTTGGACTAGATGGCCTCCCTTCCAACTCTATTCTATTCTAAGAGACTGGACAGCCATTTGTCTGAAATGGTGTAGGGTTTCCTGCCAGAGCAGGGGGTTGGACTAGATGACCTCCAAGGTCCCTTCCAACTTTATTATTATTATTATTATTATTATTATTATTATTATTATTATTTAATTATTATAACACATTTAAAACATGCTATATATGTAAAGACCTACATCCTTACTTATAAGTAACATATAAATATTAATTGCTGCCCCCCCAAGCCTGCCCCCACCCGCAGCATCTCTCATCCAGGTCTTCCCAACCCCCCTCCAGGCAGGCTGGAGGGGGTGGGAGTCCATTGGGGTGGGGGGGGTTTACCCTGTCCATGGTGCTGGTTCTCCTGGGGATCTACCCCCCCCTTATCAAAGGGAGCTTGTTTGGGGGGTCCTGGATGGCTGGGGATGATGGGAAAGGGATCTCCGCAGGACAGGAGGAGGGCAGTTGGGGAGGGGGAGGCGAAGGGGGGGGTATTTCAAAGGGGGGGGGGTGTAAGTTAGAAGGACCAGTCCCACGGGGGGGGCAAAATGAGGAGTGGTCCAGATGAGGGGGGGAAGGGAAGAGACCCTCCCCATGATCCAGCTTGGCGGGGGCAGGGAGGGAAGAGACCCTCCCCTGGATTAGGATTAATCTCACTTGGAAGCCAGGATTTTGATCTGGGCGACCTATAAACGGAATAAATCCAATGGGATTGGGAATAGAGGACGGGGCTCGCAGGGACCCCCCCCGGCCCTGCTGGCAGGGGATAATGGGAGTTGTAATCCAGCGTCCTTGCAGGGCATTAGGTTCATCCCCCCTCCCTCTCCCCCTCCCAGCCCCCCCAATCCTCCCCCCGGGCCACGCCCCTTCCTCTGCTCCCCATTGAAGAGGGGCCCCCCCGCCGTCTCCACCCATGACGTCACCGCCGGCCTCCCCGCTTCCCTCCCGTGACGTCACCGCCGCGGGGCCCCCCCGTGACGTCACCGCCGCCGTCCTACCCCATGCGCATCTTGGGAGGGGCCTGGCCGCTGCCTCCGGCGGGGCCCGGCGGGCGCGGGGGCAGGCGGCCGAGCTGCAGCTGCTTCTCCAGGGCGGACATGGCGAGGGGGACGCGGGGCCGGCGAGCAGCGCAGCGGCCGAGGGGCGTGGAGGATCCGGCCCCCGCCTTCCCAGAAGGAGCCGCCGGCCCGCCGCTCCCAGCAGCCCCTCCGCGCTCGCCCGGAAGGGAGGGGCTCCCGGCCCCGAGGCAGGACGGGAAAGGCAGTCCCGGCGGGACTGCGATCGGGGCACGCTCGGCGACGCACGGCCGGAAGCTGCCGAAAGGCACCCTGGGAAGCGGAGTATTAAAACGGAGTACGGGCAAAGAGGAGGCGGTTCGACCGACCAAGAGAGGCTTGGTGGAGCCATAGAGATAATAATTAGAGGGATCTGAACCGGCAAGATTGGTTTTTTTCGCCATGTATACCTGTGTTGTTTCTCTGAGTCATATATGTGTGTGTATGTGGGTATATGTATTACTATTATTACTATTATCATTATTTTTATTTATTATTATTGTTATTATTTTATTTTGGTCATGTTTATGCAGTGTATGTTGGAGGTGGTTACCCTTGGAGAAGTGTCTGCAATGAAATGTTATTTTAATGTATTAATGTACATTTAAATTGACAATAAAGATATTATTCTATTCTACACTAGTCTATTCTATATTTCTATTCTGTTCTATTCTATTCTGTATTTCTATTCTGTTCTGTAATTCTATTCTATTCTACACTATTTTATTCTGTATTTCTATTCTGTTCTGTAATTCTATTCTATACTATTTTATTCTGTATTTCTATTCTGTTCTGTAATTCTATTCTATTCTACACTATTCTATTCTATATTTCTATTCTGTTCTATTCTATTCTGTATTTCTATTCTATTCTGTAATTCTATTCTATTCTACACTATTCTATTCTATATTTCTATTCTATTCCATTCTGTATTTCTATTCTATTCTGTTCTGTAATTCTATTCTATTCTACACTATTCTATTCTATATTTCTATTCTGTTTTGTGATTCTATTCTATTCTACACTATTTTATTCTGTATTTCTATTCTGTTTTGTGATTCTATTCTATTCTACACTATTCTATTCTATATTTCTATTCTGTTCTATTCTATTCTGTATTTCTATTCTATTCTGTTCTGTAATTCTATTCTATTCTACACTATTCTATTCTGTATTTCTATTCTGTTTTGTATTTCTATTCTATTCCATTCTGTATTTCTATTCTATTCTGTTCTGTAATTCTATTCTATTCTACACTATTCTATTCTGTATTTTTATTCTGTTCTGTAATTCTATTCTATTCTGGGAATTGAAGTCCACATCACCTGAGTCCATACAACAGGGGTCTTCAAACCTGGCCCTTTAATGACTTGTGGACTTCAACTCCCAGAATTCCTCAGCCTGTCTGGCTGAGGAATTCTGGGAGTTGAAATCCACAAGTCATAAAAGGGCCAGGTTTGAAGACCCCCTGCCATACATGAAGCCTACACATGAGTCCACACATGTTAAAGTCCACGCCTCAAGCCCACCCATCTTAAATGGCTCCAAGTGTGTGTGTGGGGGGGGGGAAACCCCTGCTCTATCGCAAATTGGGTGTTTCTAACACTTAGTTTTAGTATCTCTATGTTCCCTCGCAAAGCTTTCTGGGAGTGGTAGTTGAAGCGGCGACCGCTCGAGGCCGCGGCCCTCCCGCCATTTTCCCAGCAGGCCGCGCGGCGGCGGCGGCGGCGGCGCCCGTTGCTAGGCAGCGGCTCCGGGCCTAGCGGCGAGGATGAAGCAGAAGAAGAGCAAAGGCGGGCCGGGCCGGCCGGGGGCCGGCCGTCGTCGGACGGGTGAGTGAGGGAGGTCGGGGCCGGGCTGGGTCGGTCCCTGTCGCCTTCCCACAACCCCAGCGGCTGACCCGGGTTCGCAAAATGCTCGGACGTGGGAAGAGACGCTTTGCTTTTTTTCCCTCTCGTGCAAAGGATTTCCTTAAGAGTTAGACGAAGAGATGGACGGGGGACCACCAGGAGATCCTAGAGGGCAGGAGAATGGGAGGGACACCGAAGGTGGTGGGAAAGCACTTGGGGAAAATGTCGTGTTTTTATGCACTCTTAAGGAGAGCCAGAATTGATGGAATGGGGAATGGCAGCAGGCTAGATAACCAGGAGAACTGGTTCTGAGTTCGAGTTCTGCCTTGGGTACCAAGTGAGCTGGCGGCGGGGGGGGGAGCAAGGTCAACGAAGGCAAAAGACGTGGGAATAGATGCTTTGTTTTGTTTTTGTTTTTCCTCTCCTGCTGTTGCTGCGAAGGATTTCCCAGTTGGAGAGTTGGATGGGGGACCACCTGGAGATCCCAGAGGGCAGGAGAATGAGAGGAAGACCCTAGAGGAAGGCGGTGGGAAACCACTTGTGGAAAATGTGTTTTTATGCACTCTAAGGAGAGCCACAATTGATGGAATGGGGAATGGCAGCGGGCCAGATACCGGCAGAAGTTTGAGAACTGGTTCTGAGTTCGAGTTGTGCCTTGGGTCCCAAGTGAGCTGGCGGGGGGGGGCAAGGTCAGTGAGGGCAGAAGATGTGGGAATAGATGCTTTCTTTTTTTGTTCCTCTCCTGCTGTTGCTGCGAAGGAAACCTCTCCCTTTCCCCTCAGCACGGCTGGCTCAGGAATTCTTGGAATTGAAGTCCACGAGTCATAAAAGAGCCAAGGTGGCCTACCCCTGCCCTATACCAGTCTCTTCTTAAAAACTTCCCGTGTTGGAGCATTCACCACTTCTGGAGGCAGGTTGTTCCACTGGTTAATTGTTCTAAATGTCAGGAAGTTTCTCCTTAGTTCTAGGTTGCTTCTCTCCTTGATTAGTTTCCATCCGTTGCTTCTTGTCCTGCCTTCAGGCACTTTGGAGATGTTTATGAAGATTAACAGAATAACAGAGTTGGAAGGGACCTTGGAGGTCTTCTAGTCCAACCCCCTGCTTAGGCAGGAAACCTTATACCATTTCACACAAATGGCTGTCCAGTCTCTTTTTGAAAGCCTCCAGTGATTTCTGGTGGCAAGTCGTTCCACTGGTTAATTGTTCTCACTGTCAGGAAATTCCTCCTTAGTTCCAGGTTGCTTCTCTCCTTGATGAGTTTCCATCCGTCGCTTCTTCTCCTGCCTTCTGGCCCTTTGGAGGTCATAATAGTCATAATCTAATTTAATTTGCGCTCTGTTATTTCTCTTCAGCTCTCAGTGATGTCTCCCCTTCTACCAGTTTACCGCCTCTGGTGGAAGGAGCCCTGCGCTGCTTCCTCAAGCTGACTGTTAGCAAAATCCTGTGGATGGTCGCCAAGCCGCTGGCGCCGTCCCTGGTTCGGGTGAGATGGTGGGGAGAAACCAGCAACGGCACCGTCTTCGTTTCCCAGGATGCTTCCCAGCCAGAGCAGAAAATCCTGAACGCCACCACCTGCTACCCAGTGCGATGTGGGCCCAAGCAGTTTGCCTCTTACCTGGCAGGTAAGAGCTGGCTCTTTGCAACTCATAGGGTGACCGGTTGAACGGGCGTGCCCTGGATGTGGTCAGTCCACAGAGGTTCTCTGGAAATGGCCACAAAATTGCTAATTTTAGGGTGGAAAAGAGAAATGGTGAAGTGCAATTGAGAAGTGCGATAATCGTATTAGTTGTGGCGTCCTTGGTGCTCTCTTGGCGGTTTTCTTGCAGACATTTCGTTACCAAACTAGGGAAGTGTCGTGATTCCGTGTCAGCCTGTGTTCCCAACAGTTGAGTCCGGGGAATCTGAGGAGGAGGTAGAGGAGGCATTTGGAGGGCCATCAGGGTCAGAAGGAGGCTCTGATGAACTACAAGACTCACGGTCTGATGAAGAGCCTGGGCCCTCCAGTCGTGTTACGGATGAAGATCAGCTGTGTGGGGAGAATGAGTCAGACTTGGAGGATTCACACCTGATGGACATGATGATTGATGCTCGTAGACGCAGGCAATTAGCGAGAGCAGATCAGCAGCAGTCAATACGACAACTCCAGGGGAGAAGGCACTGAGAGGCAACGCCTTGGGACTGTTTTATAAAAAGGGAAGGTGTGGGCGGTGCTGGTTGCTGAAGGCCACCGTCGCAAAGTACTTCATGGGATCATGTTCTGTTAGTATTGCCGGTGACTACTTTTCTGTTTTGCATTGTGTTTCGTGTGGACAATTTCCTCCATTTGGATTGTGTTTGCTGCTTTTGTTTCTGGACTATTTGGCAGGTTTGTTACCCATATTAAAAGGGGTTTGTTTTCTTTTGAGTCTCCAACCTATTTTCTCAACAGGGGTTTTGTCCTTGTGCCTTTAACAAGGACGGCCATAGGCTGGGATAGAACAGGAACATCCTCAGTGCTTCAAGAGAATGGGATTTGAAGAGGAGGAGGAGGAGGACTCTGGGGTCCTTGGTGCTCTCTGAGCTTGGTGGTTTTCTTGCAGACATTTCATTACCAAACTAGGGAACATCATCAGTGCTTCAAGGGAGTGGATTTTGAAGAGGAAGGAAGAAAGGAAGGAAGGAAGAAAGAAAGAGAAAGAAAGAGAGAAAGAAGAAAGAAAGAGAAAAGAAAGAAAGAAAAAAGAGAAAAGAAAGAGAAAAGAAAGAGGAAAGAAAGAAAGAAAGAAAGAAAGAGAAAAGAAAGAAAGAAAGAAAGAGAGAAAAGAAAGAAAGAGGAAAGAAAGAAAGAAAGGAAAGAAAGAAAGAAAGAAAAAAAGATGGATTAATGCAGGAGTCTTCAAACTTGGCCCTTTTATGACTTGTGGACTTCAACTCCCAGAATTCCTCAGCCAGGCACATGTGCCTGGCTGAGGAATTCTGGGAGTTGAAGTCCACAAGTCATAAAAGGGCCAAATTTGAAGACCCTTGTTCAAGGGAGTAGGTTTTGAAGAGGAGGAGGAGGACTGTGGGGTCCTTGGTGCTCTCTGAGCTCGGTGGTTTCCTTGCAGACGTTTCATTACCAAACTAGGGAACATCATCAGTACCAGTAGGGAGCGAGGTTTGCTCTCAATTTATATTCTAGTGCTTTGGTCAAGGAGCAAACAATACCCCAATCAAGGAACTGCCAGACAAGGTAACAGCAAACACCCCAGCCAAGGAACCACCAAGACCGCTTCCACTTCTTCTAGCATTGATGATGTTACCTAGCTGGGTCATGAAACGTCTGCAAGAAAACAAACCCACTCAGGAAGCATCAAGGACAGCCCCAGTTCAACTGTATACGACAGATACAGTTTTGAAGTAGAACCATACCCTTCGAATTCGTGTGTTGCTGATCCAGTTGGACCAATTTGATCCCCTTTGCTGGCTTCCGACAGATATGGGGGCTCTTGTCCTGGAAGTCATGACCAAATCAGACCACCTTCCGATCGGACGGGTTCAAATCAAGGGGCTGGCTCAGCTGTCCCCCAGCCACCCAATCAGTGGATTTTTCACCATCGTTTCTCCGTCGTCGGAAAAGATGGGAGAGCTGCAGGTGAGTCAAAATTCTTTTTTTTCCTCTCTCTCTGTTGCCTGGCCTTAACTCCAAATATTGTAAATAGGGATCAATTTAAAATGCACACAATGTCGAGGTCAACGCTGCTCACATCGGATGTTTTTGCACTGACAACAAACGGAGATGTAGCCATCTTCTACCTTTTCCTTTTAGAGTTAGATGATGCTGGGAGGAGGGGGGATGTGAACGAGAGTCCAGCTAGACATAACAACACTAAACCTAGCGTGAGAATCAAGGTTATTGTAACCAGAGATGATAAGAAATGGCGGGCTGGAGAACTGGAGGGAAAGCCTGCGTTTCAAGCTAATTGGGGAATGTGATTTATGACTGTGAATTGGAGGAGGGAATTGTGCTTTGATAGTATGTACTCAGGGGAGGGGAATTCAGATTTTGGCTTCGCTTATGCCAGTGCCGATGCTATGCTACTCAAAATAAAGATTCTTTAAGGTAAACAATGCCTTAAAGTTCTTTTGAAGAGTTTCATCTGTCGGAACCATGACATTAATTAGTAATAGTCTGGATGTTCCAAAGCAGCAGACCCCAACCTTTCCAGTTTTGTGGACCGTTGGCGTTGGTGGTGGGACGTCTCTGCCTATGTAGCTCCATTTGCACCAGTTGCTGGTGTGTGTGGAGATTTGCGCATGGGCAGGCGCCCTCGCCGTTCACGCAAGTGGAGCGGCGTGAACGCGCTCACCCACTGCTTGCGCAGACCGGTTCCGAATGGGCCTTGACCCGGAGGTTGGGGACCCGTGTTCTAAAGCAGTTGTTTGGGTTGTCTGGAGGATTCATTTTATCTGCATCCCACTTTTACTATTCTTACAAATAACTTAAGGCAGCGCATATATCCAATGTTCCTTCTCTCTCCTCTTTTTCCCCACAAGAGCCTTTTGGAAAATGAGTTGTTCAGGATCAGGTTTCTGATATTGGTGCAGACAACCCAAAAGGGCTGTTGAACGTTGTGCAAGGGTTTAGAAAATATTAAAGCAAGATAGACAGACAGACAGACATGAGGGATGAAGAGATGGTAGATGATAGATATAGATAAATAATAGATAGATAGGTAGGTAGGTAGGTAGGTAGGTAGGTAGGTAGGTGGGTAGACGTAGATAGATACAGAGACAGACATACAGAGACAGACATAATGGATGAAGAGATGGTAGATGATAGATATAGATAAATGATAGATAGATAGATAGATAGATAGATAGATAGATAGATAGATAGATAGATAGATAGATAGATAGATAGATAGATGAAAGAAAGAAAGAAAGAAAAAAAGAAAAAGAAAGGAAGGAAGGAAAGAAAGAAAGAAAGATAGATGTAGATAGATAGACAGAGACAGACATTATGGATGAAGAGATGGTAGATGACAGATATAGATAAATGATACATAGACAGACAGACAGACAGGCACGCTGGCTGAGGAATTCTGGGAGTTGAACTCCACGAGTCATAAAAGGACCAAGTTTGAAGACCCCTGGACTTCAAGTCCCAGAATTCCTCAGCCAGGCACGCTGGCTGAGGAATTCTGCTGGCTGAGGAATTCTGCAAGTTGAAGCCCACAAGTCATAAAAGGGCTAAGTGTGAAGATCCCTGTGTTAGATAGAGTGTGAATTGGGAGCTGTTTTTACAGGCTTGCTCAAATGTCCCACTGCAGATATCCCTGCATCTGGAACCTCTGTCCGATGTGTACGAAAGCAGCCACACGGTCCCCAGCACACATGCGAAGAAAGATGCTGCAGATTTCAGCCACTCCCTTGCTCCGTCCCAGATCCACAGACCAGCTGGCACACACCTGCATGGAAGAGAGTCCATAGGCAGCAGCAGAGCAAGTACTCCAAGGTATGTTTTTTTTTAACTCTTCTGGGATTAACTCAACTGGGATTTTAAAAAAAATCAGCCCCAAAGGTTCCAAACTGTATATTTCCTATCTTTTTGGAAAAAAAGAATTGCTGGCTTTATAGGATAGCCATGCTTTTAATATTGTATATATACGTGTATGCATGTTATGTTATATTTTAGAATAGAATAGAATAGAATAGAATAGAATAGAATAGAATGCAGGATAGAATAGAATAGAATAGAATAGAATAGAATAGAATAGAATAGAATAGAATAGAATGCAGGATAGGGTAGGGTAGGGTAGGGTAGGGTAGGGTAGGATAGGATAGGATAGGATAGGATAGAATAGAATAGAATAGAATAGAATAGAATAGAGCTTTAATACAAATCTAAAAGTACCACATTAAATATTTCCTCTCTTTTCCCCTTAGTATTTACCGTCTCATATTTAAACTAATACAATTCTTATTATATCGATTAAATAAAGATAACATTCTTGCATTTATCCATAATTTTTAGCTTATGCATATCCTAGTTATTTAACTTTCAGTCTTTATAGACAATCAGTGTCCTAATTAGTTGTTCCCAATTTTTAGTTTCCCGCTAATATGTGAATCTGACATTTTGTTGTTTATAATGTCCAAATTTTGAGTCACCGAATTTCCCTTTCTCCCATTCATCACAACGTCTAATATTCAGGATACACTGAGCAGGAGGTTGGACTAGATGGCCTCCAAGGTCCCTTCCAACTTTATCATCATTATCTCACCTCTTATCTATTCAAACGTACTCTATTTCTCACCATCTTACGTCATCTAATGAATAATACAGTATAACGTTCTTATTTGCTATTAATTTCCCAATATTTCTCCACTCTCCTCCGTGGAGAAAGGTTTTCCCACGGACCGGAGGGTGCGTGGTTTTGTGTGCTGCCTGCCTCCCACGGATGGGGCTTTGCTTGTTTGTGCAGACGGGTTGCTGGCGTGCCGCGGACTGGTACCGGTCCACATCCCGGGGGTTGGGGACCCCTGTACTAAGATAACCCCAACTTCTGAAACCACCGCAGGGATCTCGATCCAGCCTGAACTGGTTTTCCCGGGGCGCTTATGTTTCAGGGGAAAAGATCACTTATATTTCCAAGAGAACTCGGAGAATATCCCGAGGAGTATTTCCGGATCTCAACACCATCCGAATTGCGTCTTGAACGCGAAGGATCCCAAGCCGCAAAGGGTGTTTTTGAACAGCTCTGATCCAGAGGCACAAATGAAGTCAGGCAAGGAAAGCACGCCGCCTGTCCGTGTTCTTCCTTACAACAGTCCAGCCACGAAGGATCTCCTGACAGGTAAGCTGGTTAAGTCCTTGACTTAACCACCATTTTGTTTGTGTGCTTGTATGTTTGTGCGCGCTGTGGAATACAAGGCGGAGGGGTATTTTGTGTGTTTGTGCGCGCTCTGTTTTAACATGGTGGAGTGGTATTTTGTGTGTGTGTGCGCTGGTATACAAAGTGGAGGGGTATTTTGTGTGCGTGTGCTCTGGAGTACTTGGTGGAGGGGTGTTTTGTGTCTGTGTGTGTGTGTGTGTCTATGAACTGTTTTACGTATTTTCCCCTTTTTCTGTGTTAAATTTAAATAGTTGGTCGCACAAGCAACTGCCTGTGAAGGCTCCTAGATTGGAGTTGAAAGGCAAAAGCAGAAGCAGTAGACTCTGTCCCATATTATTTGGGTACATCATGTTGCTCTGATAGACTGGTCTCACCGGAAAACACGATGTAAAAGAGATGTTGAGAGTCTAGAAAGAGTGCAGAGAAGAGCAACGAAGATGATTAGGGGACTGGAGGCTAAAACATACAAGGAACGGTTGCTGGAATTGGGTATGTCTAGTTTAATGAAGAGAAGGACGAGGGGGGACATGATAGCAGCCTTCCAGTATCTCAGGGGCTGCCCCAAAGAAGAGGCGGTCAAGCTATCCTCCAAAGCGCCTGAAGGCAGGACAAGAAGCAATGGATGGAAACTCATCAAGGAGAGAAGCAGCCTAGAACTAAGGAGAAACTTCCTGACAGTGAGGACAATTAACCAGTGGAACAACCTTCCTCTAGAAGTTGTGAATGCTCCAATACTGGAAGTTTTTAAGAAGAGACTGGACAGCCATTTGTCTGAAATGGTATAGGGTTTCCTGCAAGGGGTTGGACTAGAAGACCTCCAAGGTCCCGTCCATCTCTGTTATTCTGTTATTCTGTTATTTAGCGATCATTCGAACGTACAACAGCACTGGGAAAAAAGTGACTTAGGACGGTTTTTCAGACTTACAACCATTGCAGCGTTGCCCACGGTCACGTGATCAGAATTCAGACACTTGGCAACTGGCATGTACTTCTGATGGTTGCGGTATCATGTGATCCCCTTTTGTGCCTTCCGGAACAAGCAGAGTGAACAGGGAACCTGGATTCACTTAACAACCGTTCGAAGTTACAACGGCACTGAAACGGGATTGATGACCGTTTTACACACTTAGGACCGTTGTAGCATCTCTGTGGCCACGGGGTCAAAATTCAAGTGCTTGGCAACTGACTCGTATTTACGACAGTTGCCAAGTGTCCCGGGGGGGGTCACGTGAATCCCCTTTTGTGACCTTCTAGCAAACAAAGTCAATGGGGGGGAAGCCAGATTCACTTCACCACCACGTGATTCACTTAACAACTGTGGCAAAAAAGGCCGTAAAATGGGGCACTGGTTCTCTGCGTGGATGCCGCTTCTGGAAATCCATTCTGGGCCCGGGCAACAAAAAAATTAGCTACCGGTTGCGAACTGACTGAATCCCACCCCTGGGCAAAACTCACTTAACAACTGTTAAAAATTTGGGCTCAATTGTGGTCATAAATTGAGGACTATCTTTATTTCAATTTTTTTTTCTCTTTTAAAGGCCGTGTTGCATTTGAATCCCGAAAAAAGGGTCACGGTCAGCCGGAGCGGTTGGTTCCCTTTGTTTTTAATTTTAATTTTGTTTTTCATTTTCTCTTTCTTCCCAAGACCTTTTGGACCGAGGGAACCGCTTGCGAAATGCGATGGCTGTGTCCGCCATGACAGGCAATCCGGATCCCGTCATAGAGCTGTACGAAGTTCGACCTTCCATAAAGCAGGACCTCTCCCGACAAGCTGGAAAGTGAGTGTGGGCAGGCAGGAGGGAAGGTTTAATAAATAATAATAATAATAATAGCATTTAATAAATAATAATAATAATAACAACAATAATAATAATAACAACAACAAACAACCATAACAATAACAATAATAATAGCTGAAGAAACAGTGGACCACCTGGTAAGCTGCTGCAAGAAGATCGCACAGACTGACTACAAGCAGCGGCCTGACAAAGTAGCAACAATGGTGCATTGGAAGATCTGCAAGAAATATCATTTGCCTGTAAGCAACTTGACCACCCTAGTATTTTATCTCTTTCAGTATCTTTTACTATTTTAATTTGACGAGACCCTGAAGTCTTAAGTTTGTCTGTTCGTGGACGTTGTATTGTGGGGCCTGAATTGTTAACAGCTATTCTTTCTGTTTAAAGTCTGGATAGTGGACGTGGCAGTGCCTGGAGACAGCAGAATAGACGAGAAAGAACTGGAGGAGATAACAAAATACAGAGACCTACAAATAGAAATAGGAAGACTGTGGCAAAAGCAAGCAAGGGTAGTACCAATAGTGACAGGCGCCTTGGGTGCAATCCCAAAACAACTGGAGCCCCACTTGGACACCATCACCGGCATTGACAAATTTGCCATTAGTCAATTGCAAAAGGCGGCCTTATTAGGAACCACTTCCATCCTGCGACGAGATCTGTGATACCATCAAACATCCACATCTGCCTATCCCAGGTCCTTGGGAAGGACTCGATAGGTAGACAAAATGCCAAATCCAGTCGGAATCTCTGGCTAACTCTGCGATGATTAATAATCAATAATAATAATAATAATAATAATAATAATAATAATAATAATAATGTTGGAAGGGACCTTAGAGGTCATCTAGTCCAACCCCCTATACCATTTCAGACAAATGGCTGTCCAATCTCTTCTTAAAAACTTCCAGTGTTGGAGCAGTCACAGCTTCTGGAGGCAGGTTGTTCCACTGGTTAATTATTCTAACAGTCAGGAAGTTTCTCCTTAGTGACGGTTTTTCGGAGTAACTTGGAAGCCGAGGCAAAATCGATCTGTTTTAATTTGTGTTATATAGGTATTGTTCTTAACCTCACTAGTTTAAAGGATCACATTTTCTCTCCACAAAATGCTTTGGGTTCTGATATTTTGTCGGATTCCTCACATCTTCCTTTCCTTTTTGTATTTTAATATTATCTCCAGAACTCTGAAGAATCCTGGCCTTATGTGTGAAGACCCTCTTGAGCCATTGCGGGAATGTTCGGAATTTGATTTGGATGCTGAGAAAAAAGCCATTGAGCTCCTGCTGGGCAGGTGAGATATATTGGTTTGGCTCCCATTTGAAAAAAAAAATGCCTCAGGAATCTTGCAAAATTTGTGTTCCTGGGGTAGTCCTCAGATTACGACCACAGCTGACCCCAAAATTTCTGTTGCTAAGTGAGGCAGTCATTTTTTTACCCCCTTTTGCGACCTTGCTTGCTGCAGTTGTTAAGTGAATCACTGCAGTTATTAAATTGTTAACGTGGTTATTAAGTGAATCCAGCTTCCCCCATGTCAGAAGGTGGCAAAAGGGGATCACACGACCCCGGGACACGGTGACGGTCATAAATACGAATCAGTTGTGTCTTGAATTTTAATTATGAGAACATGGTGATGTTGTGATGGTTGTAAGTGCGAGGACTGGTTATAAGTCACCTTTTTTCAGTGCTGTTGTAACTGGAAACCAGGAATCTCCAAACTCAGCAACTTTAAGGCTTGTGGACTTCAACTCCCAGAATTCCCCAGCCAGTCACGGCTGACTGAGGAATTCTGGGAGTTGAAGTCTGCATGTCTTAAAGTTGCCACGTTTGGACATCCCAGGGGTCTTCAAACCTGGCCCCTTCATGACTCGTGGACTTCAACTCCCAGAATTCCTGAGCCAGCGTGGGGGAACTATGGCCCCTTCATGACTTGTGGACTTCAACTCCCAGAATTCCTGAGCCAGCATGGGGGAACT